CATTTAGAGCAGTAGGTTTTCCAAGTGCGCATTCTGTTAACATCGAAAGAAGAGTCTAATTGAGAAGAGTAGTGAGAATGGAGCTGGAACTTAAAGGATGAAACAGACGAACTGTTACGAATGATCGGAGAGAGATTGTTCCAAGGAATACAAGGATGAAAACTACTACGTATAATGAAAAGAATTAATATTATTTTTTGCATGTTGATCACCATCTGCTGCGCGATACTGCTTAGTGAAACACAGTTATTAGTAATTAATTATAGACTTTTTGTGTTATTAATAACCAAGAACAAGGCTTGACAGTTTTTATTAAAAACGTTTCAAAGTTTTCGCCATCATCAGGTTAAAAGACTGCAATATATATTGGTTATTAATAACACAAAAAAGTCTATTGAGGCAAAAAATTTAGTAATTAGCTATTAAATGGTAATGATTTATACATTGAAGTTTAACTTTTATATTTTAAAATTAGTAATAAGAGAGATCTGAAAATTTTAATAAACGCAAAACTGAAAAACACAGAAACGTATTCATTTTAAGACTCCCGTACTCGAGTAAGGAGTGTCTGCAAACATTGTCCAGCGGGTTTACCCATAACTGTGGCGACCATCTAGCGCAATCTTTGTTAAACAATCACGTTTGTAAAATTTGTAACAATGCAACGAAAAAGGAAGCAAAATTCTGAAAATTCGTCTACTAAACACCGCAATGGCGCTACAAATCATGCCCAGAATCCGAAATTGGATGCTGGCGGAGACAAAATAGCTCAGAATGAGAGCGAAAATGGTTTAAATAGTTCAGAGCAAAATGCACTGGATAGTGAGGTATCTTGCAGTACTGGCACACGTGGACTTGTGAAATCTTTTTGCGGTGTTTCATGTATAGGAGTTTTAAAAGTAGTCATTTTAGTGATCATTGTGCCGCCATTTTTAAATTATGCATCTTTGCAGAGAGAGAGTGCAAGTTTGCGCCCGCATGGTGAACTACACGATGGCCCACGCAGGAATAAACTGTTCATGAACTGCAGTGGGAAGGGACTGCCGGTGGTAATGATGGATACACCAGGAGGGTATTCGTCTGACGTGTGGTTGTTGGTGCAAGCTGATGTAGCAAAGTTCACCAAAGTTTGTGTCTACGATCGGGCAGGCCTGGGTTTTAGTGAGAGAGCCACACCACGTTTCCATGACAACCAACATGAGAACATGTCTTCTGATGTACCAGATTTAAAATATGAGCAGCTGCGACCAACAACTGAGAACATGGCTGCGGACATTCACCATTTACTTAAAAATATATCCAAAAGTACCAATGATGTTCTCTTGGTTGGCGGTGGTTTGGGGGCTATTAATGCAAGGTTTTATGCCAGTTTTTATGAGAATATTTTTGGCATAGTCCTTATAAACCCGTTTCATGAAAATATGTTTGCAGACAAAGATTGGGAGATGTTTTGGTATGAACGTTTTCTTCCATCTTTGCAAATGCAACAAATATCGGCTGCGCTTGGAATCACTCGTCTGGGCATCATAACCGGCCTTTATAAATCAAGCTTATTGGAAGAAGGTCATTTTGATAGCGAGGTCCTAATTAGATTGAAGTATTTATCTTGTAATTTGCAACATTTAAGCGCAGGGATTATGGAACGTTACTACATGAACGAGAGCTTGGCACAGCTAAAGATTTTACAGAAACTGAAACCTTTTCCAAAGAACATAAGCGTAAGCCTTATAAGTAGCAAGAATTTTAGTGACAGTTTGCCACAGTCTTTGAACCAGTTTTGGTTTAAGAATCAAGAATTGTTTGTCAGAGAGTTGTTTCCAAAAGGTTCACAAATGATTGTAGATAGTGACTTTAATGCAGTCTATTTCAGGAATGTAGAAATTATTGTTAAAGCAATCAAGAAACTTGTTAATAAGTTTAGAAAATCTGTAAAACAATCTGCAAATATATAATATACAGTGGTGTAGCCAGCCCGACAATTTAGTCTCACTATGCAAATTCAAAATTATTATCATAAATTTCTTTAGAAATTGATTGTTTTCACAGTCAATGAACACAAAAATATTTGCATAGCGGGACGAAATCATCGGGCTGGCCACGCTGCTGATAATATATAGATGTTAAATATATGATACATAGTGTAATGGTCACATGATTTAATATTTACATTTCAGTGCAGTTTTATAGAACTTTAGACTGTTGATGGAGTAAACTCTGAAATGTCATTTTTCATGCCTTGTACTATTAAACATACAAAAATGTATTAATTGTTGATGAATTTTGATTGTAAAGGGTTAATTGGTAGGTTTCCATGCTATGAGGCCTCAGATGATTGTTAACTTGAAAATTGAACTAAATCTCTCAATTTTATATATTGGCCTTCAAATAAGAAGCTGTTTATATAGAAAAATAAACATTTTCTCAATATGTTGACTCAATAATAGTTATAAAATTAATTTTAAAAACTTACATATCTTACAATATAAACAACAATAAGTCACAAAAACAAAACCCCTCACCCACCCCTCCTCAGAGTGTTTTGTATCTTGCCCCAGTCTTCGCGAGTGTCTTCGCGCCGAGGCAGTGAGGCGGGAAAATTAAATCCCAAAGGGAATAAAAATTTTGAGAGCCGCGCCCAAAGACGAGAATGCTTGGCAAAAACCTTCAAAATTTTGTATATTTCTTGGCTTGGAAGCAAGGAAAAGCAACAGCAGTTATTTTTCAGGTAAATGACATCTTCATTTGTAAAGTAGAGTTAGTTTTTAGTCCCAGAATAGTCCGTAAACTGTCCTTAATTATTTGTTCATGCATGCGAATCTGCTGGGCCAAAATACGTGAGGTATAAATCTTTGCTGCAAATGCATCGCTCGAGACTTAGTTATAGACAAATAAAATCCTTTGCCGTCGGCAGGAAAAGCCAAAGTTTCGAGTCTCAAAGATACTATATAGGCGCTTTGCAAATGAACTACGAATTTCACAATATTCAACAAGTTCAGTCACGCGCGAAGTTGAGCGGGAAAACTTGCCAAAAATGCAACATGTCGATATTCAACTTAGTTTAAATTCACTAATTTGCCTTAAAATCTTGTCAAAGACTTACCACTGTACGAACTAGGTTCTCAAAAAAGGACCAGTGTTTAAAGATATAAAATTTGACAAGTAAACTTCCCAGTCCTTGCCAGAATTCGACGTGAGGAAATAAGCGAAGGCGAAGGTTTTTACATAGAAAGAATGTGCAATTTGCACATATTCTCCACAGAGTGCTGTCTTGTGTGTCTCCCTTGTATATTTGCATAGCGATACAAAATTAAGAGCTTTTGGCCACTGGACTGTGGCCGAAAGCTTGTCTAAATAAATATTTTTGGTCAGTGAACGTCTCGTATTATTTTGACATTCCGCGCTTCATCCATATTTACAAAAATAGTTGTGTTTGTTGGCCGTACGATTCACAAAAATAGTTCTGTTTAATATAGCCACGCGATTCACTAGAAACTAGCAGGGTGTAGTTAAACACGTGTTTTACTGCGCCCTGAAACTAGAAAGCATTTTACGGGACAGCCGCTGGTGCTCTACTTCAAAAATGTCGACACTTTGCTTGGAGCAAGAAGTCAAACTACAGGGTTATGTTCCGAAAAAAGTTACTTTTTGAAATTTTCCTATTGTAATAATTTGAATGCCTGAGCATTATGCTAACCACGGAAGCGTAACACACAAGGTGTATTGAAAAACGAGACCTGAATGATTTTCATTAATAATTCATGAGCAATTCAGCCAGTGATAATCAACTATTTGATCACAAGATGCCATTTGGATAACCCGGTGAAACTTGATGAAAGTCACTAGTGTTTTCATCAAATATCTTAATTATGCATGCAAAATTACTTGAATAGAATTTCTAATTACGTTGTGCTTGGTTAAGAATTCTATTCAAATCAGCAAACGAAAACATTCTGTTACGTCTCGATTCATTTGAGAAGCCATATAAACAACTCGAGCTCGTGTCTCACCGGGATATCCAAACACTCGAAAACAATGTATGACTCGCGCTTCGCGCTCGTGTTTTCATACATTGTTTTCTCGTGTTTGGATATCCCAGTGAAACACTCGCTCTCGTTGTGATCACCCTGTATTAAATATAAACTCTACAGTGTGTATAAAAAAAGCTGAACCCTTTTAAATTCAAATTTAATAGCTATAACGTATTGTAGTAATTTGACAGCTCTAATTGCTTTGAATTAATGGTTGCCGGCCGGGTAAGAACACAAGGTCTTGACTCTTGTACTCACGGGACAAAACTCAAAGAAATAAAACTGATTAGAAAATTTAAAAGAAATATAGTATTTCTTTTAAATTTTCTAATTTTTATTTTTTGAGTTTTATGCCATGAGTACAAGACCTTGTGTTCTTACCCAACCATTAATTCAAAGAAATTAGAACTGTCAAATTACTACAATACGTTATAGCTAATAATTTGAAAGGGTTCAGTATTTTTTTATACACCCTGTATTCTTGTTTATAAGTATAAGATTTTCTAAGATTTTCTACTCCTGGGAATTTAAAATAGCTTCTAATTGTATGAACTAACGAGCAGAACTGCATAAAAAATTACAAGTAATTTGCGTTCCTTTTCAAGCGCCTGGGTACGAGGCTGTAATAATACCGCCTGCATTCTCGTACCCAGAGCCCTTCTTACGCGCGGTGCGACGAGGGGCTCTGGCCAAATCCGTATTCCGAACTGGCATCTGATTGGCTAGTTCTAACATCGGACATTGTTTTCTTACCATGTTTTTATGGTACCGGTTATGGATTTGGCCAGAGCCCCTCGTCGCACCGCGCGTAAGAAGGGCTCTGGGTACGAGAATGTACCGCCTGCTGTGTAGATCAACAATTTAAAACCCTATAAATCATTGAGTATGACAATTGTAAATGTAACCAGTTTTGAAAATAAACACGACTACATGAATCCTATATGGGATATACTGCTATTTTGTTCGTACATCAGAGTGCGTCAAATATTTTTTTCACTAACTCACTTCAGTAGTTTTCCCGTGCAAAGTCCACAGGAAGGGCTCAGTATGCGCAGTGCAAATGACTCTAAAACAACGCGATTGCCGCATAACTGCAGGCATAAGTTTGCGTAATTATCGGACGGAAGCAAAGTTTTCCCATAAATCTAGGGGTTATTTACTTATAATTTTGCTGGACGTTTAAAAATATACACACACACAGTATGGCAGCATATTTAAGACCCTAAACCTAAGGGATAAATCCAGTGAGATGTCGCCCACGTGCGTTCCGAGTTGTTGCTAATATTAGAGAGTTTAATTAAGATCCACGACGCGGAGAACTCTCAGTTCAAGCATGAGCGGTAAGTAATTTGTTTACTGTAATAAATGCTTGAAGCTTTTTACAATAACGTTACAAACAGCCAAGTTCAGGAGAAACGATGTGGCTGCGGCGTACATGTGTACTGAATATAATGACATCTTCATTGATATTGGTTTATTCAATTAACTCAATGTCAAAGTTGAACTCATTTCACTACTCAAACATATCTGACTTTCTTTTTATTCAGAAAATTTACTGAATATGTCTACAAGTTAAACTTAATTATATCTCTTATTTACTATACGTTTATATAATATATATTTACTATGATTTTCTTTTAGAAAATGTGTAACGCTTACTATATTAGTGTAATAATCCCATATCGAGGCTGGTTTACACTATGAAAGTTTTCATGGATTTGTAAGAAATATTTCATGGAACTGACCTGGGTGTTTAACACTGAGTCCATTCCCTCCTTACAAATCTTTCAAAACTTTGAATTTACCTTTGCAAAGTTGTAATCACAAAACTTTGATAGTGTAACTAAACCAGGCTTTACAATAATATATTTTCATATAATTTATCTTCTTTATCATCTATAAATATAATTTCTAGACTATAAGCTATTTGTTCATAAATGAAAGGAAACTTAGCTTTCCAGGACGAATGTTTCATATTCACTCCAAGATACCACTAACAAGTTCACAGAACTGGAGATAATTCTAGTCTTATCTTACTACGTTTGTTCATTGAACGTCCATAGATTAAGCAATGCGAAGATAGATAAACAACGTGTCATCAGTCTTCGTGTTCGTAATTCCGCTAACAGATCCTGTTCCAGAGATAGCCAGATATTTTGTTGAATGTGGTTCAGAGTGAATTGAGTTAAATCCAGACTTATGTTTTTTTTCAACGAACACTGCTTCATTCGTTACACTCGCCTAGAAAACAGATTATATTTTGAGTATACTTTTACCTTTAATAAAGTTAAGAATTTTGCGATGAAGTGAAGGACTTTGTACAGTGGAATATCCGGGATCCTGAGGGACATTTGTCTTGCAGGAAGATTGAGGACCATTTTGTCACACATACGTTCTGGGAGAGTCTTAAGAAATCATTGTAACACTGATAAATACAGTCAAGTATATTTTTTATTGCGTACATAATAACGTAATGTCAAATTTTCCATTATTTTTACGCACTCTTGAGGAACATTTGAAAAAGGTAAATTCAGGATCACCTAACTCTCTTTTCAGACTGAGACATGCAACTCTCACATTTGGTTAAAACAATCCATAAATTTTGTTGTCTCAGTAAAAATTCTTCAGTACAGAGATGGACAATGTAAATCTCTTAATATTTCTACAGAGACAAGAGTAATTTCGGGCCCGCAGTAATTGGCTATTCGCTGTTGCGGTCACCCAGCCGTTGTCATGTACCCACTGTATTTCATTATGTACGTTTGTTTTTGTCCTGTCATGTAATGTACCGTTTCATCGGCAAAGTTTATAAATTAAATTAAATTAAAAATTAAAATAATTTCATGGGCATGCGTGCTTTTTAAAAATTTGTACAACTTTGTTGGCATTACATTTGTAAACTAGAGCAAGGATTTCTTCTGGTTAAGTTAACATATTTCCGTTCTTTTGATAAATCAAAGACGACTTTTTAGTTTCTTAAAAAACTTCAACGTTGGTATCTGTATTGCTTCTGGTTAAGTTATAGAGAATAATACATGGTCCGCGGAAATACCAGATTTATTTCGAGTGTTGAACATGATATCTCACGAGTGAGCGCAGCGAACGAGTGAGATATCATGTTCAACACGAGAAATAAATCTGTTATTTCCAAGCACCCATGTATTTTTCTGTTTATTATATAAACCAAATTCAGTGAAAAACAATAAAACGTCCGTGGCAATGCGTTTTACAACAAATGATATTTTCACACGTAAAAATATCGTATTTTTTACGTGTGTTTAAATACGATTTTTCTCAGTGGCCAAAAACTCTATATAACACTTATGTTTATATAATAAAACATATTTCCTTTCTTTTGATAAATCAAAGACGACTTTTTAGTTTATTAAAAAACCTCAACGTTGGTATCTGTATTGCTTCTGGTTAAGTTAACATCCTTTCTTTTGATAAATCAAAGACAACTTTTTACTTTCTTAAAAAACCTCATCGTTGGTATCTGTATACAGTTCTCAGGAAGAATGAGGCCTCTAACACCACTCACCGCTAAGTAAACTTTTCCTGTTTTGTCCATTGCCAGATATTTTTGCATCTTTACTGCTTTTATTGCAATCTTTCCGTTAAAATCAACTGTATATATCTTTATTTTAGCTGCAATGAAAATAGAGAGATATTTACCTACAGTTCTGCATGATATACCAAGTGAACTGAGAACCTTTGCAAATTTTGCTCCGTTTGATGTAATATTTTCGACTATATGAGGACTAGACTAGATTCCAAGTCCGCGTAATTTGATCAACAAGCTTCGGACTGGATCAGATTGCGCCGACTTGAAATCTAGGCCAGTCCTCATAAGTCTCATAATCTATATCTTTTTAACCAATTCATTGATTGGTAAGACGCCTAGGCGTCTTCCATGGAGGAAGACGCTTAGACGTCCTATACCAATCGATATAATTTATGAATAATTCACGAGCAAAACACAAAGAGCTTATCACCCTATTGTTGTCTTGATACCACAATTATCAAATCTTCTTTTGCGCTAAATTTCTTTCTAATTACTGGTTCCTTTGAGAAGTTCTCATGTTCAATCCGGCAATGTTGTTTAGTATATGTAATAACTATATATACAACATGAGAGGCCGTGTTGTATCAGATATACAAACTCGAGCCGAAGGCGAAATAATAAAATTCAGCTTGAGGTTTACAGATTCGCCTTACATGCAATATACATAACCAATGTTTTAAAAAATAAATACAATTCTACGACAACATAAGTGAATTGTGTCCGTTGATTTACACAGTACAACTCAAGTTGTAAGCAGGTTGCATGCGCCAGTTTTAGGCAAAAATTGTGTAGTGTAAAGCGGCCTTTAGGATCATATGAGTTTGAGAACTATAGATGTGTTACTAAAGTCAAATATTCTTACCGTAAGGGTTAGATGAATGTTCTCCTGTTATTCCTTGTTTGCCAATGGTGAGATGTTTGCCTGTTTTAGTAACGACCGTCACATTATCAGCTTTCGTAGGTAATGCCTTCGCCTCTACTGTACTGCTTAGTTCGTACAATAGAAACAAAGTTAGAAGCAAAACCATTCGTATGTTCCGCAGTGGAGGAGTGGCCAGGAAAATACGACTTGAAGACAAAGATATTTTGATTTGTAAAACCATTTTAGTGATGAATTATTTTTGTTGTTTTTTGTGCTCGTGGCTTGCTTCTCTGCGGTTCTTTGATCTTTCCTCTGTAAATCTTCGTTGTAGTAGTTCTATAACAGAGTTTTCTTTCTCTGTTAATCGAGCTTTCCCTGTTTATCTTCAGCTGTCTTTGCGACCTTCAATTGCAGTGGACTTGTTCTTTTTTTGTGGTTTGAATTCTTCAAGCTCTCTTTAAATTGATACACGTAGTGTTTTCTTGGAAGATATCCCGATGTGGTTTCTCTGTTTATGCTCCAGTGAAGTATAGCTACAAACCGTTTCTCGCCCTCTTATATATACGCTGGTCTTGTTCGAACGTGCGAGTCTTCCTAGTGACGAATCTAGAGCATACGCCCCATCCCACGCATTCCACTTGGGAGACGAGAGTGTCAATTGCCAATTCAATGTTTGAAAGGGAAACTGCTCTGCATGTATTTACTCGGGCCATGTTATCACGCATGTCCTCGTACAAGAACTGTACTCCATACTCTTATTGTACTTGAAATACGTCAAAGCAATTTCAGAGAATAAATATTTTTAGCTATAACCGGAAAATCTTTAAAATACTCTGCTTGTTTTTGCCAAAAAGCGCAATTCTGTCAACTTTGTTTTCCTGTAGTTATACATATGGATATTTTTACTGTAAAAAGATGTGTACCAGATAGGAAGTATTTTACCGAATTGCAATTTCCTGTGTTAAATACTAAGTCAGTTTCCTTAAAAAAATCCTACAAATCCTTCAAAACTTAGAAATTACCAATACAAAATTCCTACTGTGATCATGAAAAACAATTTAAAACATGAATTTTGGAGCAAAAAAGAAAGGAAAACTCATTTGCAATTTCATCTAATGACATCATTTCTGCCAAGCGAGTGCCAACTTTGACCGTTACAAAAGTTGATAAAAATGAGCTTTTTTACTATAAAGATATATTAAATTTCTTTTCAGAATAACCCAAATATTACCCATACTAAAAATGATATTGGGGGTTAGTGGCAATTTAATTCTGGGGATAACATTCGACTGACCATCTATTTTGTTAAACCAATCCATAAATTGGTTGTCTCAATGAAGATCCTTCAGCACAGAGATGGACAATTTAAAACTCTTAAAATTTCTACAGAGACAAAAGTAATTTCCCAAAGCTGCCAAAGAATGGGCATGCAGGCATTTTTTTAATTTGTTGCCATGCAGGATCTTTAAGACTCTGTTTGCATAGTTAAGTCGACTGACCTATGATGTTAAAAATGACGCCGTAAGACAACCGATACTATGAAATTGAATGATAAATAACGAAATGCTTAATGATTTCTATGTCAAAATAATGTAGTTATCTGATGATTTTGAAGACGTTTTCCATAGCGTGATTTCAACTTTGAAACCTTGATCCTGAGGAACTATTTGCAGGGAAACTGACATTTTCATGGGTTTGCCTGCGGAACCTTTCCAAGAAAAAAATTGTGTTTGTCAGTAAATTCGCAGTAGGAGGTGTCCTTTGCAGACCCACAGTAGTTTGACACGTGTTTTACCATGCAGTATTTAATTTTATGATTAGTCATGCTTGATATTAATCTCATTGAAAAACTTCCCTGAAAGTGAATCTATGATGTCATAAGTCTGCAATGATCTTCCTGCCCCAATTTCTACCTATTGACCAGTTCTGATGCAAGGTAATTAGCATAATGCACGCTATAATGGAAATGTTCGAGTGTAAATTTTATACTAATTTATTGGACGTAACCAGAAGCAATTGCGAAACATTTCCATGTACCAAACCCTTCAATAATCAGTTCTATCGAGTGAGTTGCCCAAAAGTCTGATATTTATCCATACACCTTACATTGGTGTCACCTTAGTGACATATACATGAACAACTAGCTGGCTTTTTTAAAGCGTTGCATCGGAATCGCAGGTTCGTTTCTGTCAGAGTGTCTATAGTTGCATTTTTCCCAACTGTTCCGGGTTAGATTTAATAAATGTATAAAAATTACATTCGAAATCTCGACCTACAATACTCTCCTATAATTAGCATAATGCACGTTATAATGACGTCAGCTCATGCATGAACACTTGATAAACCTAACATGGTTATACAAGGTCTAATCTATACAAGGTCTAATAAAAGTATAATATTTATACTCGAAAATATCGATATACAAAACCCTCCTATAATTAGCATAATGCACGTTATAATGACGTCATTTCATGCATGAACACTTGATAAACCTAACATGGCAATACAATATGTTTTACGTTAGCATCAAATCGATTTCTAAAAATTTTTAAGGTATTGGCTGAGAACCAAAACATGGTCAGAAATTATTCATAGGACGCGCCTTTTTAATGCAGGCTGTCTGATTGAAAATCCCAGTTCTATCCATTGAAATGACTCGTTTATTTTGCCTACTTTTTGATTAATTTTGTTGCAAGATAATCAGTTTTCTGCTGTGTTGTATACTCTCGGTCTACTTTTGTATATCCGAATAATTTTTTGAACATCGTGAGAGTTTAAAAAATGACTTCCCAATTGACAAATTCCGCTAATCGGTTGTTTACAAGTTCACAACTTTATAGATAATTCACATCAGCCTAGTTACTATTGTTCAACTTTAGAAAAGCATGGAACAAAACAAAAGTAACTAAGCTTTGGAATTATGTACAGGGTGTCTCCAAAAAAAAGTGAGACAAGTTAGCCCAATTTCTCAATTGTATGTATTTACGCAGAGAATTTGCCCACACAAGAATGCAGGGAGGTTCACTTAGTGCTGCAATAATTGTGCGGAAATAATGGTGTAGGCCATATCATGATTAGTTCACAGCAGTACTAATTAACATATGTGGCGTACGTATACAGGTGTATCAAAAAAGAACGCGACATTTAAAAATGTTATTGCCGTTGAGCACAAGATTTTATTCACTTCTAATCGTATGAAGGAGGATAAATGCATAAAAAGCTGCCGGTTTGTCAAATAACTAGTGATATCATCAGTTTGAATAAAAAAGGTATCACAGAGCAACGAGTACTATTCTACGTGCTGCGTTAAATTAATCAACACGTAATTCACATGTTGGACGAAACCAAATTAAAGTTTTAAATAACTTTGTCATGGATAAAATTCACTTCTGTTGTGTTTTACGCCTCTGTGGGTGTTCAGCATAATGCTATGCTTTCAAATTCCAACAATAAATTTCTAAAAGGTCTCGCTTTTTATACACCCAGTACACAGGCTATTTATTATACACCCTGATGACTCAGATTTTTTTTATACACTCTCAAACCACTAAATCACACTTATTGCTGGTTGAAAATGTTTGTTTTTTGCTCGCTTTTCGATGCTAATATCAGATCAACCGTGATATACTTTCTCCAAGTATATACAAGGAAGAAATTTATTGAGATTTGCTGACTATCAAACAGGAAGCTTTTCCAAGATAAAAACTCATTTTGCCAACTCAGCAGAGGCTTGAAAATCGGTTGTAAATAGGTTATAGATTGCCTTGAACGAACTTCCTCCAGTAAAAATGATGAGGTCATCAGAGTGCAATGATGTTCCTTCTTCGTTGTCTATTCTAATTGGTTAGAAAGGAAGTTTTCATCCATAATTGAAACTCTCTATCTCTTTATATTTAATTAGTTTCATTTGGTGCAAGCTGAGACCAGCTCATGCTTGCCGGTTTTTGATATCGCAGCGCTGGAACATGTCGGGCAGCAATGCTGCCAGGAAATTTTTAACAAAATATTATCGCAGGAAATTCTCATACATTTTCCAGGAAATTTTTATCATCCTATATATACTGGAGTGCCATATAATTTACTTAATGTTTGCAAAAGCGTTTTGCAAGTGGGGATTGTCTTGTGCCAAGATTGAAGTCTCATCACAACGTGCGGCACCAAGATTTTGCTGCATGCAGGAAGAGAAATACGATATTTTCTAAGTCTGCGTCATCGACCCAGTATAGCTCGCTAAAATTTGCTTAGGTTCCGGACTTATGCCCATATATTAATGGTGTAGAAATGCTGTAAATGCACCTAAAATGATTGTTTGTGAACAATAACAATGACCATAGTACTGATAATTATAAGAACCTTATCTGCCAGAAACATCCTTGTTTAAAACTGCCTGTGTAGGTAGTGCTGACACTGTAATAACAAGCTTTCGTTGGGAGGGACTAGGGATGCAACTATCTGAAAAATGTCTCGGGTTGCTGCATCCCTATCAACGAGAGCTTGTTTAATGGAGGGCCGCTACCTGGTTTCGAAATCCTGCAATCCAGTGATTGTTTTCCCTTCAATTCCTGTTATCATGTTTACTCCAAGAAACAAAATTGGCAAACATACCCATCTTACTTTGAACTTATCTCTCTTCAGATAAATGGATGATTTCAAATGTAATTGTTACAAAGAGGAAACAGGACAAAGTGGAAACAGGTAACTGATCAATCCTATCTGCAGAGAATTAAGGCTTTCTAAAGAATAATTATCTTGAACAATGGCGAAGATAGCCAATAGCAACAGGCCATGCTATGCTAAAAAATTGGATACTGTTAAGCACTTGTTAAAACATGAGCAGCCGATCTTTATCTGATATACAAACTCGAGCCGAAAAACGTGCTTAAAAAACGACACATCTTATGGGTTCATTGGCGAAGTAATTTAAAAAAACAACCCCTTATTCAGCAAATTGCGCAAGCTGTCTTTCATCCCTTGGGGGGTGAGGCAGCATTTTTCTTGCGATAATAACTTCTAGTTTTAAAAATAAACATTGTCTAAGCGGAATCAAAGCTGAAGTTTATGTAAAGCAGAACAAATTTTTATCCGATTTACAAACATAATATAGCCTGCGAACAGGCAGGCTAGCCTTAATAAAATAAACCTGTTTCTGATTAGGTTCAAAACAATAGCTACATTTCTAAAGTTTGAATAGTGAAAATCATTAACAGATTACATTGCATGACCTGTTGCTATGGCTAGCCTCGCCACTGAGCTTGAACATGGTACATGAGGATCCTTTACAACATTTTCCTATCTTCGGTTTGGTTTTTAAGATAGTTTGATTAAAAATAGCGTGTACAGGCTCGGCCATCTTGTTCTATATTTAACCTAATAGCAGGGGGGTAACTGTTAGGATTATTGTTTGCGTTTCAAAGAAGGAAGTTTTTTGACATGTTGTAAATGAATAATAATTGCTTTAGGAGTAGAATGCTAAATTATTTACTGCAGTCTTAATTTCATTTTATAATAATCAGTCTTTCAGCTGGTCTAATTTAAAACATAACTCTAATTTCTACGCTTTCTTTCCTTCAAATAATGCTGACCATTCAATATAATGTATATTATGAGGAGTCATCCCATGCACGTATACAAGCCTTTAGATTTCTGGATGCCTCCTCGCCACTTCGGGCACTTGTATATATGTTGTACCTAATATATTTATTTATTTACTATTGCGGCGAATAAAGAGAATGAATGAATGCAATGAAATGAAAAAAAAGTAACAAAAACAGATTTCGAATTTCAGGCTCATAATAAAAAGGCCGTTGACAAAATATACATTTCTTTTTAGACTTATATTGTCAAAATTGAAAAAAAAACATTATGTATGCTTAGTAATACAGTTATTTTTTTATATTTGGTACTATAGACGTATAGTCCCATGTGCTGAGTCAAATGCAACTAGTTTTGCTTCTTTGTAAATACTGTAGCTTATCTAATTTTTAGAGGGCCAAAGGTAGAATACCTTCTCAGGTAAAAATGTATATTTAACCTCATCAAATAAATATTATTATTATTATTACTTTTTACCGTCACGCATAATGAATCACTGATTCGACAACCAATACGAATGTGGAAAAGTCCTAAAAGATCTCTATACATCATTTAAAAACTTCTTTCAAATAAGACAACATTTTTATTGCCATTTCTGTTTAAAGCAATACAATATATTATCAATAACAGTTCTGAAAGTTATCTGCTGCTAGGAAATTTTTTAACAAAATATCTTGGCAGGCAATTTTCTTACATCTTGCAAGAAAGACTTGTCATCCTGCATATATATATGTACTATTTAAAACACGAGTAGGAGTGTTTTATCAGATATATAACGCGAGGCGCAGCCGAGCGTTATATATCTGATAAAACACGACAACGAGTGTTTTGAATAGCTTAAAATACGACCACAAAAGAATACTAATTAGGATGGACCATAGTATAATCATGCTAATTAAGATGAACAATTATATAATGCCACATGTGTTTTATCAGATGTAAAGTCACTCCACGTGACATATTATGGCTGACATGACTTGCCACAAGGTTTATGAATTATTAATGAGTATTTAAAATATATATATAGAGCATCGTTCTAGAAATGCGAAGGTCGCGGGTTCCAATCCTAGCCGCGGTCAAGTAGAATTTTCTGCTTGCCCGGTTTGGTATACACTCAACAACTAAAAACGTCTGAAAACAACTAAAAAAACCCGCTATATATATATCGCCATATAATTCACTTATTGTTTCCAAAAGCGTTTTGCAAGTTTATCACACTATGTGACACCATGCAGGACGTTTTATATTTAACATAAGATACTTTTAATTTTACAATTTGCTGCCAAAGAGAAATATACTGTTTTGTAGGCCTGATCAATATGGTTGTGTACTAATGGTACTGTGGTTAAAAGTATCTCATTACTACACGTTTGAAATGTCAAAGATCAAACAGGAACTTAATAGAACTTCCTAATTTATAACATTTTCAGTTCGGATTGTAATGATTGAATTATTTAGAATCTCCAGAGGATTTGAGTATACAGCTAATTCAAAAAAGGTTCCCCTTAGCCAACCTTAAACTCTACTAACCTTAAACTCTAAGCGTGCAAAGCATAATGAGAGCATCATTTAATGCTGCTTGTGATGTTACTCTGAGTGTGCATCCACACCGGGCAAGCTTGAAAAATATGCCTGACCACGGTGGGAATCGAACCTACGACCTTTGGAATACTAGCCCAATGCTGTGCCAACTGAGCTACGCGGTCTGGTCGGTTCGAGTATGTGATATTTCGGAACAGAATCTAGTTCCTTCGATATGAATGTTATCTAATAATAATCATGATTTTTTCTGTGTTGGTGTAATGTACTCAGGTGAATATGATGCTTGTGATGTTAACATCACAAGCATCATATTCACCTGAGTACATTACACCAACACAGAAAAAATCATGATCATTTAATGCGTTTAGAAATCATATATGGGGCCCATTTTTTAGAGTTGAATTAGCTGTATTCTAGGTGTACTTCTGTATATCCGAATCATTTCTGTTCCTCTTGAGAGTTTTGAAAATGTCTTCCCCATCATGTATTTACCCAGAGATTTCTCCCACTGAAGAATGAAGGCTGAGTAATCGCGTACTCTATTGTTTTGCTCGTGATTACTTCACAGCAGTGCTAATTAAAATCTGATTATTCTTGTCTGAGAACATTTCTAGTTTTATAAAATTGGGAAGTAACCCAAGATTTACGTATTATAGCGAACTGATTTGTATGCCATCTTACATGAAATACCTCAACAATAGTGTACTGTAAGGTCAGACCTCACTGGCGTCAGCTGCCTTTTTATTTATTTATTTAATATATTCGCCCAAATCAGTTTATAAAATTAACAATTTAAATAGAAAACATTTACAATAGTAGGGCTAGGAACCTTCTAGAAACCATAAGGCTTTTGGTTAAGGTCCCTAGTTACAATTCAAATAATATAATATTAAAAGTTAATACCAGTCCAATTGTTTTCAAAGGAATTACGGTGATATATTTACAATAAGGAAAGTGCGTAAAAGATATATCAGACTATAACAATTATTTGGCTTTTCACTTTGTGCCAAGAATTCTACTTATTTAAATTTGACAGAAGAAAATATATTTTCATTGTAGATTTAAATATTGGAAGAGATCTAATTTGCTTATATTGCGTCGGAAGATTATTCCACACATCCATGCCGTTATTACCGAGCGTGTGTTTTTTATAATTTGTTCTAGTACAACTTTTGTGGAGCAATGATGCGTTTCTTGTGTTGTAATTATGGATTTCTTTGTTAGTTAAAAAATATTTATCAAAAATTTCTGGAAGATTTTGTAGATTTTTAACTGTGCATAACTATAATGACCTATTAAATTGTCTAAAACTGCAAATATCATTGACAAGCTTTAGCTTAGCCTGCAGGTAAAGATGTATCGGTTATCATTTAAATATATAAGGTGTTTCCAACTAGTTCACTGACTGCCTTGTTGGAAATAGCTTCATGTTCCTTGTTTTTACATTTCATATGCACATATTTCACTGGGAGAAATTCGAAAAACACCACCTACACAGTCGGACATACTGTTAGTAAACATATGTTTCTCAGTTGGATTTAAATAGATCTCTAATCATATGATAATTGTATAATATTGCCTGAAGCAAACTTAAAACGCTTTCTTCCCATTCCTTAATTACCTCTTGGCTTCCGGCACTGGAGTCAGCGAGGAGCTGTTTTATTATGCATGAGATGCGGCGACCGTCAGGACGACGATTAAACCGGCGGCAAAATTCTTGAAATAAATGATTGTATGGAAATCTTGTCTCGTATTTACTTTCGTATGAATTTGATATAGTTTCGAACGAGTAAACCAGAGCTTTCACCTTCTGCAGAGCAATTTTGATCAACTCTGCTAGAAACTGACTACCTGCATGTCACGGCTTGAAATGCTGGCGTGACCATACGAGACGTGGAAATATGCATTTCCTCGTTGTCAACAGAGCTTGGAACACGTGTAATAGAAATATAGAACGCCTAACATGCTAACTACAGCAACTTAACTGCAATTTAATATTTTAAACGCATATTAGGACTTAAAAGGTTTTAGCATCCCGCAATTTATTAAAATTTAGCAAATACGTCACAAAGTAAGGTGTGGTAACCTTGAGCAATGTTGGAACGACAACTGAAAAAAATAATGCAGGACGCAAGCATGATTGCAAGAGATTAACTTTCTATCCAACACAAAACAGGGATACAAAACACAAACTAGAATACGCACCTACGCAGTGCGGGTCACGCACATTCTAAAAATGTCACGCATACAATGAACAGGATGATAGGCTTTCACTTTTTAAAAGTAGATTGAAAGAGCATATGGACATGTACTCTTAGGAACTGATGATTGATAAATATTTTAGATTTAGTGCAGGCAAGGGGAACTACTCAAATAGGGTCAACCTCATAGTTCTCCTGCAAGAACATTGCTATTACAATCTTGAATAAATTATTATTTGTTCAGTTATTTGATTTGAATATATATTAACGTTTTCTGCGTTTTTCTTTAATTTACTTCTTGTATTTTTCGCATTCAAATAGCTACATAGTGAGATTCAAAATGGTGCCTTTTTATTATCCATGTTATAATTCAATTACGTTCTCTTGAATTATAATGACCTATTTTTATTTTATTTATTTGATATTCGCCCAAATCATAAAATTAACAATTTAAATAGAAAATATTTACAATAGGGCTAGGAAGACATCTAATTTACATACTGAATTGCACTAGTCAATCTACAGAGATTCTCAGTCAAGCTATTTTTGCGCAGCCGTTTCTAAACATACAGTATTAACTAAAGTTACTAAACAGCACTCGAAACATCGATATTCCGGGCAACGCAGTCTACGCAAATTGGGCGAGAAATATGCAAATTTCTGGAAAAATCTATTCCCGCAGTTTCAGGATATACAATAGTTGGAGATTCAAAGCTATTCTTTGCACACTCCCTTTCTAAATATATTACAGTATTCGAGTCCAATGTCCATTTGAACCGACGCACTCGTACTAAAATTAACAAATTCTCGCAAATTTAGGCGTGTTTTAGTTTACATTGCGCGCGTTCCGTCCGTTGCGCGTCACTTGTATGTCACTCGCGATAGTCAAGCTGGGATTCTTGTATAGAGTACCTGCTAGTTTTGTCAGGGGGTTTGAATTCTGGCACAGGAAAAGACATAATGTGCCGCCAAGTATTCCCTAAGGAAAGTGATGCAGCAATATTTTACATTGCTACCATGGTTTAATGCACAGAAATAACAGAATTAAGGTGAAATTTGCTGTGTTGGTGTAATGTACTCGGTGAATAAGATGCTTGTGATGTTACTCTGAGTGTATATCCACACCGGGCAGGCTCGACAAATATGCCTGGCCACGGTGCGAATCGAACCTACGATCTTTGGAATACTAGCCCAATTGTGTGCAGTGAATAAGGGATTTGAATAACTATAATTGTGAGTGTAATCATTACAGTATAAGTTAATTAACACTTAAATATTTGCATTTAAATATTTACATTTTCCACGTCGTTTTCAAAAACAGTACTACCAAAATGGCGAATTTGTAACAATATAGATTCATGGAAATTGCAATTTAGTTGACAATTGGATTTCTGTACCATTTCCAACTGAACATCCGCCACACTTTACCGTTTGGCAATTGTTAGATAGTATACTTCAAAATAAGGTTCCGTTTTTATATCAATTTTTAAAATAATTAGGTTAGGGTTTAGGTTGGGGTTAGGTTAGGGTTTAGGTTGGGGTTAAGTTAGGGTTTAGGTTGGGGTTAGGTTAGGGTTTAGGTTGGGGTTAGGTTAGGGTTTAGGTTGGGGTTAGGTTAGGGTTTAGGTTGGGGTTAGGTTAGGTTAGGGTTTAGGTTGGGGTTAGGTTAGGTTAGGGTTTAGGTTGGGGTTAGGTTAGGGTTAGGACTACGGGAAACTAGTATCTGTCATTGAGAGTACAAGGAAGATTTCAACTTATCAGCCATGCAGCTATTCGTGAAAGAATTATGTTACTTGCAAAGGGTGGCGAAGGGCCTTTCCATATATGTACTGTATAATAAACTCGTTGCATATATCTATGATCTATTCTCCTTAAATAACTTGTACAAATATAACCCAGATATTAGTTTGAACAATAGTGCTATTTAAATGTTACTCATGTAATAAACAATTATTGAATTCGGTTTTCGTATGATATCGAGAATTATGAAGGCCGAGGTTTGTGTTATCCATCGAAGCCGAAGGCCGAGGTGGATAACACAAGCCGAGGCCTCGACAATTCTCGATATCATACGAAAACCGAATCCAATAATTGTTTTATTGCTGCGCGCGGAGCGAGCGAGCCTGAAGCGAGCGAGCGTAGCAGCAGCCTAATATATGCAGAGAGGGGGTTTTGAACTAAATTTATTAAGCGCATGGAATTGTGGTCGTGCGCGCTTTCTATGCGCAGAACACAAATTTTAAACTTTTTTATTACTTAATTCGAATTCGTGCAGTAATACTTTTTTGGACCGAACTTCGGTCCAAAAAAAGTATTATTGAACGCTGATGGCGTCAGCAGCTGAAATAACGCGACGGCTTCAAGATACGGGGAATTATCCGACGCAATAGAGAGGTTAAGATACCCCAGTTTCTGTGTACGGGTACGAGTAGTGTCATCTTGTTTTACTGATGTCTGTAATTCGATCATACTTTTTCTGTTTTCTTGCAATACTGATATAATGCGAAAAATGTGCACCTTAATTACGAGTAAAGGTACAGACATCGACGAAAATATTGCTAACCAAAATCATGCTACCCGTACACCGAAACCGGGGTATCCTAACCTCTCTATTCTGACCAATCACGAACGAGAATAGACTTTGAATATATAATAATGACAATTACCTGTAACAGACATCTCATTAAATGTAAAATTGTTCATTTACAACCGTTCTGCATTTAAAGCTGAACAGGAATGTTTTATTTAAATATTAGTTTCGAATTTTATTATTTGTACTGTATCTCGATATTAATCTATTTATCCTGATGCTCAAATTTCATGAGAGCATTTAAATTACAGGACTGTCAAATTTGCTAGGAAGGTTTTCACATGTAGAAAAAAAACTCTAAAGTAACTCTTGTCGATTGTGCGAAAGCCAGATAACCCTATTCACCGTGGCTAGTGAATTTTCAACCGTTTTTCAAATGCTTTAAAATTAAGGGTGGTTTACACCTTCAAAGTTTAAAGGTGGTTTATATCACTAAAGTTTCTGTGATTACAGTAGGAATTTTGCAAAGGTAAATTCTAAGTTTTGAAGGATTTGTAAGAACTGTTTGAGGGAACTGTTAAGCCGGTTACAGACGAGCAAGTTTTCTATGACAAGTTTTTACGTGACAAGTTTTATTTGCCAAGTGCACTTGTGTATATGCAACAAATTTTATATGACAAGTTTTCATATGACTAGTTTTATTTACTGGTGTGAGCGTGTCAACAAGTTTACTTTGACAATTAGCCAGCTGGCCAATCACATCAAATGCTCAGATTACATTGACAAGTTTTCTTTGTTGACCCATACAGACGAACAAAATTTGTACTTTGACAATTTTTTCTATGACAAGTGCACTTGTTCAAAAGCTAGCATGCTAGCTTTTGAACAAGTGCACTTGTCATTGAAAAACTTGTCAAAGTTGCGCGTACAGACGAGCAAATAAAACTTGTCACATAAAAACTTGTCATAGAAAACTTGCTCGTCTGTAACCGGCTTTAAACGTTTAAACACTGTGTCGGTTTCCTCAAACATTTCTTTCAAACCTTAGAATGGACCTTTACAAAATGCCTACTGTGATCACAGAAATGTGATGGTGTAAATATTGAAGTCCAATCTGGGTTACACTAATCAACGACCAATTTTAAAAAATCACTATGTGGTTGATAGCGCTATCCAGCTTCCTGTACTAGATTTTTATGTTTCACAAAAAAATATCTCAATTACACATTACAAAATTTATAAATATCTCAAAGTTGGTCAAGATACTTTGACGTTTAAGCCCCGTTCAACTAGTCGAACATTTTGATCCAACATCGTCGTACATGGTAAGATTGTTGGGTCTGTTTCGACCATTGAAATAAATATAGCATGGTTTCAACATCATGGAGGGTAAAGCCTGATTTACATCATACACAATTTGAGTTTTGCCTAAAACTGTCGCATGCAACCTGCTTACAACTTGAATTGTACTGTGTAAATCAAGCACATGATTCGCCTGCGACAACATAGACGTGTTGTGTACTTGATTTACACAGTACAACTCAAGTTGCAAACCTGGTTGCATGCGACAGTTTAACGCATAACTTGTAACAAACCTGTAACAGACTTGTAGCAATGCTGTTCCAACAACTTGTCAACAAGATGTGTTCGCACTGCTTGTTCCCAGCTTGTTGACAAGTTGTCAACTTGCTACAAGGTTGTTGAGCTCAACAGACTTGTTACAAGTTGTTCCAACAACTTGTTATCGTCCTGCAATTCAACAACTTGTCAACAAGTTGTGAGTGACAACCTTGTAGCAACTTGATAACAGCATTGTTACAACTTGTTGACAAGCTTGCTACAAGCCTGTTGCGAACACATCTTGTTGACAAGTTGTGAGATTTTTACGTGTGTAAATCAATCTTAATGGCGGCTGATGTTGGATTGTTAAACGTTGGAATAGTTTGAACGAGACCTTTACGAGTTCTCTGAAGATAATAAACACACCATTACTCTGCTTCCAGAGTATCTTAAACAACGGCGAGGCGACAGAAACGTGGAAAAGCCTCTGCTCAAATCGATGCGAATCTCACTTCCATATTTGGTTAGGTTCCGATTCTGAACCTCGCACGTGATTGGCTATTTGGAAATAATCATGTGTCTAGCCGTTCTTTAAGATACTCTAAAACCAACGTAAAACGTCCACTTTAAATAACCGATGCATTCACTCAAGCCAGAGAAGTTGGAGGGCAAACTTTCCTCAGCAACGATGGGGGACGCTGGGTGAATACAATGGATCCAGGGGGTGTTATTCCTTCTCGAAGGGGCGCACAAATGTGATAGGAAATACGCCCTCTCTCCTGGGGTTTCCTTCGATGTGGCCCATCTAGATAAACAAAGCGATTTAAATTTTATTTACTGCATTGCACTATAAGTTTTATAGGCCGTGGGCTGTTGGCCAAAATTATTTCGGTTCGTGACCCCCATGTGAGAAATACTTGGTTTGGGGTTTATTTGAAAGATATATAGGTACATCACTACCAAAAAAAGTTCCCAAGCAAAAAAGTTGCCCAATCCCGAGAAAATGGGTGATCAATGATTATCCTCTATTAAATTGTATTACAGCAAAAATATGAGAAATTCTGTATTCAATTACAATAAAAATTACTTGCATCATCGGAAAACGTACAAAAAACCGCATACAAGATTTTTAAACAGTTTTTGATTTTTCGAATAGTCTTTGAGTTATTGCTGTTTTAAATGTGAAAATTGGACCAAAATGTCGCAATAAGGACTGGGTACTAGGTCAAAAACGCGTTTTGACAGCGTATAACTCGAAAACAATTATAGATATAAAAAAACTGTTTAAATGTCTTATATGTAGGTTTTTGTAAGCTTTCTGATAATGCAAGTCATTTTTGTTGTAATTGAATACAAAATTTTACATTTTCTTGCTGTAATACAATTTAATAGAGGATAATCACTGATCACCCATTTGCTCGGTGTTGAGCAGGTTTTTTGCTTGGGAACTTTTTGTGGTAATTAAGCATCTATGGTTCTATGAATTGAACCACAGAAAATCTATTTCCCAGATGGGTGCCACGAAATTGCTTTTCTAGGCACTTTTTTGCACAACAGCCCACGGCCTATTAGACTGCTCTACCATTAAACCCAGTCAACCTCGTGCCCAGGTTCCTCTTGGCGAGGGGAGAAAAGACCCTGGTAGACGCTGGTCACGTGATCTGCTAAAATCTAGCAGATTTTTAATTAGCAATCCAAAATAAGGTCAATGAATATTTGATATTTGCATAATTTTTGTAGTTTAATTTATAATTTGCTTTTTGTATGATTGTCGTAAAGGAATCCAAGATAATTAATTAGAAATCTGCTAGATTTTAGCAGATCACGTGACCAGCGTCTACCAGGGTCTTTGCTCCACAAGAGGAAAAACCCTGAGCACGAGGTTCGAGACACAGTAAGGTAGCCTGCTCGCAGTCCAAAATTTCGTTCAAAGAAAAACCGGATTAAAATTCTCAGGTGGGGGCTGCGAGCAGCCTACGGTGGGGGCTGCTACCAGTAAGGGTGAGACCCCTAATTGCCCTGCTTTTGAAAGACAACGCTGCATCGCTTGTTACTTACCCACCAGTCAGGGTCGGCCTCACCAGACACAACGATAATTTCACCTTCAGAAAATGATAACTCATCATCATTGTCAGCCGCACAGTCGAAAATAGCTTCAACACGTTTCACTTTTGCCTTGAAAACAAAAAATTGAAACATTGTTTTTGCATAGATGAAAGTTTATTTAAGTATTAAAGTACTTGATTAATGCTAGCATAATAATAGTTTGAGAATAGGGGTGGAAAAAATAGGCGAGCACTGCTCGCAGGAAATATTAAACAGCTGCAGGAAATTCGTTTGAATGAAGATTTGCTATTGAAAATTTGAAGGAAACCTTAACATCCATGTCCGACTATGGGCGCAACAACATATAGTTGACAGGCATTATTCCTTGAATTTAAAACCATGGTCAGCTAGAACACTATATGTTTATGCACATGCAGATTTAGCACAAAAATACTCTGTTGGTCTGCAGGAAAATTATGTCTCCAGGTTGTGCTCCCAGGAAGAAAATTCTTTTTTCCTGCCCTGTTTGAGAAATTTTCACGTAAACACAGACAATATTTTTTAATTGCAACTGTACGTCCTTCCATAACGGTTGTGTATAACATGCTTGTCACTTACAGTGGGTGATAATGCACGAGGTGGAAGTACTGGTGGTGGCGTATTCCCGGTACTTCTGTCTGGTTCGCCTTTCAATCTCGAATCTTTAGGAGGTCTTGGTGGGGGCTGAAGTTCTGGGCTTGGTGGAGGCGGGAGGCCTGTAGTAGGGGGCATTACCCGGGTGTTAGGAGGCGAGGCAGCCCGCGTTGTAGGTGGCGAGACAGCCCGCGTTGTAGGCGGCGAGACAGCCCGCGTTGTAGGTGGCGAGACAGCCCGTGTTTTAGGTGGTGATACAGCCCACGTTGTGGGTGAAGATGTAGATCGAGCTACAGACGGCGGGGACACGGTTCGTGTTGGAGTAGGGGGTGATAAAGGACGCGCTATAGGAGGGGGAACTGACGTGGGTAAGGGGGCAGGTGTTAAAGGTGGGGAGGATGAGAGAGTACGGGATACTTTCTTGGAATCTAAGGAAGAAAATCAAGTCTTCAAATCCAGCATGAAATTATACATACATACATATATATATTATTCAGCTCACTCCCCAACGGGGCTGTTCAGTGACCGATTACATCAAGTATTACGCTTACATATTACCTACTTAGCCTAGACTGATGAAAGTATCAGTGAAGTGAACCTTCATGTATTGCAATATAAGACTAATTCATACCGTTTGAATCTTCTAGCTTCGGCTTCGGGCCCATCGGAGGTTTTGGACGCCTGGAATGATTAGAGACACGTGAAGGTAATTAAACTAACTTTATTTATACTGGACATAACGGCTGATAGTTCTGTGGATAGTCCTAAATTGTTCTCGCCAGTACTGGTCATACCATGGGTGATAAAAACACAGATGCTTTAACTATCCATGGCTAAACTAACATTATTTATACTGGATAGCCATGCTAGGATAGCAATGTTTGCTAGAGTCCAACTGGAAGCGCTTTTCTCACACGTGACTGATGTGGAATCTGACAACTGTCGTCAAACGAGAACATAGTTGTATGACAATGGACGACTTGCGCTTTAGAAAAATTTTTAATCTGGGAATAACAAAGGATATTTTCGGAAAGAAGTTATCAAAATTAGAAAAACTGCAAAGTTTGGTTGCGAAATCTTGTAAAATACGGAAAATATAGCCCTGCGAAGTTGGCAAATTTGTATACATTTCTATTACGTGCGGAAATTGGTAACTAATTTAGTTACCAATTCACGCACGTAATATAAAAGTATACAAATTTGCCAACTTTGAAGGGCTATATTTTCCGTATTTTACAACATTTCGCAACCAAACTTTGTAATATTACTAATTCCAAGACGCTCGTTCTAGCTGTGGTGATAGATTTCGTTGTTCTTACTTAGATTAAAATTTAGTCTAAAGCGCAAGTCGTCCATTGATGAAAGTTCACTCATGGATATTACTGCGCGATAGCGAAAACTCTCATCAACTCTTATCAAAATTTGAAGCAAAGGTCAGATCAAGCTTCGCCTTCTGTAGTAGTTCAAAGTTAATGAGAGTTGATAAGAGTTAGCTGGAATTACCGCGAGCTTAGCGAAAACTCTCGTCTAAATTTGAACCACTGAACTCAAAGTTGATGCGAGTGTATGAGAGTTGATCATAGAAATAAAAGATATCTATTATTTCCATGGAGTTGATGAGAGCTGGCTTAAACGCAAGCGAGAGTTGCTATTCTCATCAACTCTCATCCAGGTTTGACCGAAACACCTTTAGACTTACGCTTCAAGTGTGTTGGACTTCTTAGAGGGTCTTCTACTTAGAGACGAAGATGACTGAGATGTAGTCATCTTGTTTGGGGATAGTGGGCGTGTTTTAGGGACAGGGAGGGGTGTACGGTTCGATCGACTGACTGAGCCCACGCGGATAGGAGGGGTAGGTGGGGAATCCTCGTAAGGGGTGGAGTTACTGAAATGAAAATTTTTGTTAGCCATTGGAATACATGTGGGATTTCATTACATTCATAATAAAAATTGCCTAGTTACAGTATTTTTCATTCAAGTATAAAATGGTGATAAGACGTAAAGATCACACGATAATGGGACATTGGACAACTTGCCTCAGATGTGTAACTTCATAGGATCTCGTGTCCTCAAATTTCCCTAACCTGTACACGTCATGACACTTCCTACGAAGATGGCGGCGTAATATTAAGTATTACCCAGTTGCTAAGTAGATGGCGACCGTTGGACAACTAGTTTTTACTGAAGTTACACATCAGGGCCTGGTTGTTCAAAGGTGGGTTAGCGCTAACCCTGGGTTAAAATTTAATCTGCTGTTGTAGTTTGTGTATTCCTGCACGTCTGTTTATTTCAAAATTTCAGAGAAGTAAACTGCTATCGATTCAGACAAGATCTCTGAAAAAACATTTTCAAATTCTAGACAAGCTGTCGGGAAGTTTGCTTTGAATTTTAGGTTAACCTAGGGTTAATTAAGCCACATAATAGGAAGCTATACCAGAAGCGTAACTCTAGTCGTTTCCCTTGTTTGACGTCCACGAAAATTTTAACTCGCTCACGTCAGGCCACGCCATCCTGGTTAGTACAGCCGGAAGTTTTTATCAGGATTTGGTAGGTACAAAGTGCCGGTTGTACTAGCCAGGATGGCGTGATTGATGACGAATCGCTTGTAAAAACGCGGACAAATATTCGCTCGAGTTACGCTTCTGGTATAACTTCTTATTCTGTGATTAAGCTAATCCACCTTTGAACAACCGGCCCCTGTTCTTAATCTGTGGCCAAATTGACAACGAAACTCTTGCAAAGTCTCGTAGTAAAACAAACATCTACTACGGAATTATGCAAGAAGATGTGGAGTATTTGAAAACAACGAATCTCGTAGTCGTTGCCAAATCTACAGCCCTCTATTAGGACTTGTTTTGAGCGGCCTTTATATCCAAACTCCACCACATCTGCCACAACGACAGCTTCGTAACTGGCCGTATCGGGACGGAAAACAAGTCTTAGGAACCAACCTTCGTTGATGTGATTTTGTAAATGTTGAATGTTGTGTAGTGGGGTAAACCACCCCAGTATGTGCCCCCGGTATTGTAGAGGTGGGAGGGGGCGGGGGTGCCGTCCTCCTTAAATTTTTCTTGAGGTCCTCCCCTAACCCGTGTCGTTTCTTTAGTTCACCAATGACACTCATGGAGGGACTGGACGAGTGATATTGTGGCGTCACGTCAACGTCGTTTCCCATTGTTTTGGAGCGGGGGATTGGGGGCGGAAAAGTGGCAATGCTGATGGGACGCTTGCTTCGAGGCGGAGTCGCTGGAACCTGGAAACGAGTAAGTAAGAGAGCATAAATATTTCGTTATTTTCAACGACTTGATTACATTGGGAGTTAATACTGTACAAGATACGAGAGCGAAGTAATTTTAAAAATCGACGTTGTCTTAGCCGAGAAAATCAAAGCTAAAGTTTATGTAACATGGTAGTGATTTAGTTTGTCTTTAATCATTGAGTTTTTAACATAGAAATATTAGACCTGTCTATTATTTCTATGGTTTTTAACGGTCTACACAAGTCCAAACGTCTTGCCTTAATCGGTTCTTCAATGCTCTCGTCTTCACTTTGTAAGTCAATCCGTAGATCTCCAAAATTGCACGGTTCTTCGTAAATATTCTCTGCCTAAAAGATAAACAATGTCATTTAGTCATGAGGTAAAATGGTTATTCTGAGATGTATGGAATGATTTTCCTACTGACCTGTTCTAAACCCCAATCAATCTTGACATTGTCACAATTACTTAGCTTTCCTCCTTGCACACTTTTTAACTTGAGAAAAGAAAGGTTAATTACAACAAGGCACTTATACCTCATTGCCAATACCACTGTCTGACATTCCAAAACCGTTGTAAAGCCTACACTATCAAAGTTTCTGTGATCACAGGAGGAATTTTCCATTGGTAAATTCTAGGTTTTGAAGGATTTGTAAGAAATGTTTGAGGAAATTGAGATGTTTATGCCGAACTTATATTCAACGGCATAAACATCTAAGTCGAATATATGTTCGGCATATAAGCATAGATGATGTTTATGATGTTTAGATCATAGATGTTTGTGCCGTTGAATATATGATGTTCGGCATAAACATTCGACCTATATATTTATGCCGTTGAATAGGTTCGGCATAAGCATTCAACTTAGATGTTTATGCCGAACATATTCAACGGCATAAACATCTAAGTTGAATGCTTATGCCGAACATATAAGCATCTAAGTTGAAAGTTTATGCCGAACATAAACATCTAAGTTGAATGTTTATGCCGAACATATTCAACGGCATAAACATCTCAGTTGAATGGCCATGCCGAAGACAGTTAACGCCATTAGCCATCCAAGTTGAATGGCTATGCCGAAGACAGTCAACGGCATAACCATCCAAGTTGAATGGTTATGCCGTTTTCTAGGCACTTTTCGAGGTCACACGGACTAAAACTTACCTGTACGAAATTGCTACTGTAATCACAAAGACTTTGTGTAAACTAGGCTTAATAAAAGTTGAATACTTACAAGTTCTATGGTTTCATTATGTTCTTCAGTCATAGCAATATCCAGCGCCGTCTGACCAAGTACATTCACTTGAGTAGCATTCGCACCGGCACGCACCAGTACCTTAATACACTCGCTCTTACATAGAGTAGCGGCAAGATGCAAGGCTGAATTACCGTCTGACAACACGTCAATATTAGAACTATATTGAACACACAGCAATAATCATATATAAGAACACAAATTATCCATAAATATCAGGAGTTGGAGCATCTACAGATCTACTGTACACTCCATATAACTAATTATACAGTAGATGGCATCTGCAACTAATGACATCTACAATAAGTTAACAGGACAGTACACAAGCCCAGCGATACGAAATTTCTATAACTTCCACTTTAACTTAGCAAAGCAGGTCATTTGAGAAGGACAAAACGTACGTATTTTGTGCGAGGAAGTCTACAATATGTAGCGAGGTATCATCCTCGTCATTCTTCACTGAATAATGTAGAGATGTTGTATGTTTACCATCCTGAAATATATATAAAGAATGTCTTAGTAATACGGAGAAGTATTGAATAACACTAAAAAACATTGAGCAACACGGAGTAACATTCCATTGCACGAAGCAACATTTTAGTAACCTAAAGTAACATTTGAGTAACACGGAGTAACATTGAATAACATTTGTGTAACACAAAGTAACATTGAGTAACACAGAACAACAGTTGACTAACATGGTGTTGAGTAACCTGAAGTTCAGGCCCTAATTTGAAATAGGGCCTGACACAAAACCTGTCTAGACCGTGGGACGCCCACATGTTATTTTTAGACACACATGCAATATGATTGACAAGTGTTGTACATTTCGTTAGTATCGTTACACAAAAAATTTGTATTCTCATGAACATGTCCGCAGAGTGTGCATTTTGCTTTTTAATTAAACTTAAAAATTCAAGGTACTTTTATATAATTAAGAGTCAGTTTCTCTATTTAACCGAACAGCAAACAAAGATTTAATTAGTCAGTTCTGTGCACGGCTTGACTGCCAAGCTTTCTTAAGGTCTCAACTTGCTGGACGCGGATATACTCTAACGGGCTAACAACAGCAACAATGAAATTCTCAATCGTACCACGAAGAAGGCGATGTAGCTCAGAAAACAACGCCGGTAGGACCTGATATTAAAAATAAGACTTTTGCCGGCGAATCCAGTTGGCAGAACATCTTGGCTGTCAACAACAAGCTTTCGAATACATGACTAGTTTGGCTGTTCTTTCAGCGTCGTGTGTCCAAAATTCGTCAAAGATTTTGATAAAGCCCTTTCAAAATACTGTTTGTTTGATTTATTTTCTGCCATAAAGCATAAAAGAAAAGAAATTCAAAGAAATCGATAATGGAATTTGTTACGTGCGTTTGACCTTTATATTAATTGTCGCCTTGACCGAGCTATTTTTAAAACTGTTGTTTATGTGAACTTGCAACCAATCAAAATCTTTCATGATGCTGATCAACCAATCAGATTTCCCGTCCACCAGATGGACGGGAACCCCACAGTTTAGATAGGTTTTGTGTCAGGCCCTATTCTGTGATTAGGGCCTGAACTTCAGGT